ACTATAACACTATACAATTTAATTGTGAATAAGAGCAACAGTGACTATGGTTACAAATGCTTCACGTCGCAAAGTTGTTAAACATATGCTTTCCTTGGTAGGGCTAGTAGATTCTTGTTAATTTCATGGTGTACACCTACAAAGATTAGTATTATTAGTGATAGAGATAATAGCAACTGACATTAGAAAATTTTATTGTGTATATGTAAATCATAATAGAAGAATATAAGTTGAATTGTACGAATAAATTTGTACTTGACCAATAAAAAGAAATAAAAATAAAGAATATGTATGTGATGAGTAACACAAAAGTTCAATGAAAAATGGGAGGGATAAATTATGGATCAAACACTACAAGAAATTAGGGCATTTGCAACGACTTTTAGTGGCGACCACTTAAGGTGCTACAAAAGGTACAATTTTAGGAGCGACCAAAAAGCATCGCCACAAAAAGTAGAAGCTTTAGTGGCGACCCATATAGTCATTACAAAAAGTAAGATATTAGCGGCGGCTTTATATAGATCGCCCATAATGTATGATAAGTTTTTATTTTTCCTAGAAACAAAAGTTGGCTGAAGAGGCATTTGTAGCAACCCATCAATAGTTGCTACTAAATATCTATTGTGGCGACTTTGTCGACTAGTTCTCTTGATTAAAATTAAAAAATTAATAAATAAATATCATATTTTATTGCTTAAGAGAAGCGTACGTTTCTTTATTTCTCTCATTTCCCCAAACCCATCTTTCCCATTCTCCTAAAACCCTACAGTCGTGATAGCTCCCCATTGAGAATCTCATTCTCCCAAATTATTTATCCCGTTCTCCTAAAACCCTTATTTCTAGCTTCAAGCCTTTAATCCCACTCAAACCCATGTCTCTCTGTCTATATCTCAAAATCGGGTCTGTTGAAGAAGATTTTGAGTTGAGATATGAAAGTAGAAATTGGAAGAAAACTATTTATCTTTGGAGAGGAGTAGGTATCTTCAGAGGATCAAGAAGCGGCCTCGTGCTATTTACCTCATTTCTTCGGAGATTCGTAACTTGGTGAAGGTTTTCTTTTTTACCTTGCATTTTTAGTTTCTATTTTATTTCTCATTTTTCTTTCTTTGTTATGGTTGTGTCTGTTAGAATTAGTCAGCTATATTTTACTTGTACTTGGGCTTTGACTGCTTTAGGCTTAATTATTTGTATTGGGTTGTAGCTAGGTTTGTATTATTTTATACCAGTTCTTTTCATTTGTAGTGGGTTCCGGGTCGGTTAAACATTTTGGATCTTATATAAGTAATAGAAGCTTCTAAAGGAAGCACGACGATCATTTTTGATTAAATCAATTTTCTCTCTTTGTGTGAGACAATTCTTCTCCGATTTTTCTCGTGTGTTGAGTTTTGAATTCTTCAGATCCTAACATGGTACCAGAGCAAATGGAAATCACCTAGTTTCTGTCTGTGCATTTGAGTTTCATGGTTATTCCTCCTCATTATGTGTTGTTTGCAGTTGGACGAAGCCCTAAGCTCGTCTTCATTCTGTTTTAGTTTCATTTTCTATCAATTTAAGATCATAATCTGGTTGTAATCGGAGAGTAGATTGAATTTCCCTTCTTAGCTTCATGTACGAGCATATCAATGACTGAATTCAGGAGTTTTTGGCATTTTCTGAAACTTTAACGAAGATATTTCATGGCAAATTCCGATCAACACCTCACTTTTTAAGGAATCTTCCTTGTGACTTGGTAATATTTTTTCAGAAATCCTTTTGGTTGAGCAGTATAGTTGTTTGATTTTTTCAATTAGTTATGTCTCATATTGTTGGTTTACAATGGGTGATGTAAGTGACCACGATGAACAGTCTAACCACAATCAATCTCTGCTATTTGAAGATGAACTTATTTTTTCCCTTCTCATCCTTTCTATTTGCATTCATTTGATAATCACGGGATTATGTTAGTTGCTAAACAGTTTAACGGGACATGTTTTGGTGCTTGGAGGAGGAGAATTATTATCGCACTTTCTGCGAAGAAGAAAATAAGTTTTATCAATAGTAGTTATACTCGACCTCCTATTGATTCTCCACTCTTCGACCAATGGGAACAGTGTAATCATATGGTCATTAGTTGGATTCTTAATTACTTAGATCCAGACATTTCTCAAAGTGTCATATATTCCAAAACTACCAAAGGACTTTGGGATGAATTGAGCCAATGTTATGGTCAATCCAATGGTGCTCGTATATATGAAGTTCAGAAGGATCTGAGTTTAGTTTTCCAGGGTTCTTATGATGTGAGTGGGTATTTCAACAAGGTTAAGAGACTTTGGGATGAGATGGAATCTTTAAACATTGAATCTTACTGTGTTTGTGAATGCAATTATGGGGGTAAGCATAAGACGATAAACAGGGACCAGAACTTGAAGTTAATGCAATTTTTAATGGGATTAAATGAAATCTTCAATAATGCTAGAGGAAACATCTTAATGATGGAGCCACTGCCTAATGTGAGCAAATCTTATTCTTTGGTTATCTAGGATGAAAAACAAAGAGGTATTCAGAATTTGAGTATGTTTCAATCTGACTCAGCCTCTTTCTTTTTTGGAGCTAATTATAATCCTAAGCCTTCTTTCAATAATTCTAAGCCCTCTTTCACCAATTCCTCATTCAACAATTCTAACACCACTTACAATCCTCAGTCCCAAAGATATAATTTCACCGGTCAGAATCAAAATCAAAATGTGAGTTATGATGCAAAGGGGGTTCCAGATCCTAGGAAGTTATTCTTCAGGTATTGCAAAAAGAATGGATATGTGATAGAACAGTGCTACAAACTACATGGTTATCCCCAAAACTTTGAGTTTCGAAATAAAAATGTTAGAGTTGTTGCCACCATATACTTGAATAATGAGACTAAAGCTGACAATACCTCTGAGAGTTCAAGTACATCCACCACTATAACTACAGATCAGTACAAGCAGTTGATGAACATCCTTCAAAATGTGCAAGTTGTTGATGAAGTCCATAATCAGTTCCATACTGCCTCCGCAAATTTTATAGGTATACTTTCTTGTTTCTATCATATAAGTTGTGTTTCTTGTTCATGTTCTAAGTCTTATTTGGATCTTGATTCTTGGATTATAGACTCTAGAGCAATAGACCATATGACCTCTGTAAAGTTGACTTACCAACTTCTATTCTTGTCACTTTGCCTAATGGATACAAAGTTAAAGTAACTTCTACTGGTACAGTTCAGATTAATTCATTTGTCTCCCTATCCAAAGTACTATACTTACCAACATTTAAGTACAATCTCATTTCTGTATGCAAACTTACTTTTGACACATCTTAGCTCTTAACTTTCTCTTCAAATGCATGTTTCCTACAGGGCCCTTCTCTGAAGAAGACATTGGGACTTGGTAAAATGGCTAGGGCTCTACTTGCTCAATTCCAACACTCTCAGTTCCACAGAATCATAGTCTGTTTGTTCTACTGTTTCCTTTCCACTCTCAGTTCATGTAAATAATGTCATTGTGAATAAGTCTCACATTTTGTGGCACAATAGACTGGGACACCTTCCTTTTTCAAAATTACAAAAAATCACTTTTATCAATGTTCCATCTTGTGATAGACAACCTTTCATTTGTGATGTATGCCCACTTACTAGACAACAAAGATCCCCTTTTTCCAAATAGTCATTCCCATGCAGTAGAGGCACCTGGACCCACCTTCTAAACAATAAAGAAAATGCACTTTCTATTTTAAAATCATTCTTTTCAATGGTTGAGACTCAATTCAACCTTAAAATTAAACCCATTAGAACAGATAATGCCCTAGAACTTGGTACTAGCCTTGAAGCCACCCAATCTTTTCAATCCAAAGGAGTTTTACACCACACCTCTTGTCCATATACACCTCAATAAAATGGTGTAATCGAGAGAAAACACAAACACCTCCTAGAGACTGCTAGGGCACTCTTATACCAGTCCAAACTACCACTTTATTTTTGTGGGGATTGCATACTCACAGCTACCTACTTAATAAACAGATTTCTTAGTTCTATATTATCTGGGAAAACTCCATTTGAAGTTTTATATGGAGTCCAACCTTCATATAGTCATTTGAGGAGTTTTAGTTGCTTATGTTATGCCGTGGTGCCCAAGCCTCTAAGAGACAAACTTTCTCCCAGATCTACACCTTATATTTTTCTTGGTTATCCTCCTGGCAAAAAGGCATACAAGCTGATGCAACTTTCTGACAAGAAGATCTTTACTTCTAGAGATGTTATTTTCCATGAAAATATCTTTCCTTATTCTAAGTCCTCTTCCCCTAAGACCTTGTTCCCCAATATTCCTAATTCTTCTGTCTTTGGCCCTCCTGTTTCTACTAATCTCACCCCTAATACTCTTTTCCACTAAAACACTTCTTCCCCATACCAGACTATTTTTGCACCATCTTCTTCTTCATAGTCCTCATCTTCCTCTACACCTGATCTCGCCCCTATACTTCCTTCTTCTCTAAGTCCTGCAGCTGACTTTCCTACTTCTCCTTCAATTCATGCCCCTGCCATTCCTCCCAAATATCCTTTTAGGAAGCATCACCAACTCTCTTACTTAAAGTATTATGTATGTAGTGCTGCTTTTTCTTCTTTACCTATCACTTTGACTTCTATTCTTATTTTTCCAAAGTCTGTTTACTTCAATAGTCTAAGTTTATCTAATCGGGGTCTCCTAAAGGCTTTAGATAATGTTCATGAACCAATAATTTATCAGCAGGCATCAATGCACCCTGCTTGGCAGGAAGCAATGTTAAAAGAATTTAAGGCCATTGAGGCTAATGCAACTTAGGACATTGCACCCCTTCCCCGTGGTGAGAAGACAATTGGAAATAAATAAGTTTACAAAATTAAACATAAGGCGGATGGAAGTATAGAAAGGTTTAAGGCAAGGTTAGTTGTGTGTGGGGATACTCAACAAGAAGGGGTTGATTACACAGAAACTTTTTCCCCGGTTGTTAAGATGACTACCATTAGATCACTCATAGATGTTGTTGTTAAGAAGGGTTGGGACATGTTTCAGTTAGATGTAAATAATGCTTTATTGTGTGGGGACTTATATGAAGAGTTATACATGAGAATTCCTCAAGGTTTGGTGGTTTCTGGGGATAATATGGTATGCAAATTAAAGAAGTCTTTGTATGGTTTGAAACAAGCCTCCAGGCAATGGTATTCCAAGTTAAGTGATTTTCTTATGTCCATGGGCTATTCGGTTTCTAAAAATGATTATTCACTTTTCATTAAGTCTGTTAATGGCCTTATTACCATTATAGTTGTTTACATTGATGACATTCTGTTGAGTGGCAATGATGCACAGGAAATGTTTTCTCTTAAACTCCTTCTGGACAAACAGTTCAAAATTAAAGATTTGGGCCATCTTCATTATTTTCTTGGTTTGGAGGAGTTGTCTGAACCTGGAGGAGTCATTGTTTATCAAAGGAAATTTGCTCTTGACCTTTTATCTTATTTTAACTGCCTGGACTGTCCTCCAGTAGCTAGTCCAATGGATGTTACTGTAAAGTTCAAAGACAATCCTAGCGAGCCCTTATCTGATCCTACACTTTACAGAAAATTAGTTGACAAATTGAATTTTCTCACTAATACTAGACTTGATCTTGCTTTCTCTGTTCAGTTTCTCAGCCAATTCATACACGCTCCTTCTACTGTTCATCTTAATGTTGTTTATCATGTGCTTCGATATGTCAAAGGGACTTTGGGTCAAGGATTACTTATGTTTAATGATCCTGATTTTTCCCTTCAAGCTTATTGTGATTTAGATTGGGCCACATGTCCCTTTTCCCAGCGGTCCGTTAGTGGTTTTTTAGTCTTACTTGGGGGTTTCCTTCTGTAATGACCCGACCGGTTGTTTTGAGTATTACAACCATGTTTCCCTATTTACTGCTCAAATTGTACTTTACAGTTGTTATGTAACTTATCGGGACAATTGGTTCGGGTCCGGTGAGGCTTTGGAATGAATTGGAACACTTAGTTTCAAGGTTTAAAGCTAAAGTTAAAATAGTGACCGGATGTCGACTTACGTGTAAACGACCTCGGAATTTAATTCTGATGATTCCAATAGTTCCGTATGGTGATTTTGGACCTACGAGCGTGTCCGAAAAATTATTTGGAGGTCCGTAGTGGAATTAGGCTTGAAATGCCGAAAGTTAAATTTTTAGGAAGTTTGACCGGGGGTTTGACATTTTGATATCGAGGTCGGAATCTGATTCTGGAAATTGGAACAGCTTCGTTATGTCATTTATGACTTGTGTGCAAAATTTAAAGTCATTCCGGATTGATTTGATGTATTTCGGAACAAGATATAGAATTTAAAAGTTCAAAGTTCATTAGGCTTGAATTGAGGTGTGATTCGTAGTTTTAGCGTTATTTGATGTGATTCGAGGCTTCGACTAAGTTCGTATGATGTTTTAGGACTTGTTGGTATATTTGGTTGAGGTCCCGAGGGGCTCGGGAGAGTTTCAGGGTGGTTTCGGACCATTTCTAGGCCATTCTTAGTTGTTGGTTTTTGGCCACAGAGGTATGCATCGTGATCGCGGACAAATGATCGCGATCGCGAAGAGCAATTTTGCTATTTGGGTACTGTAAATCGCGATCGCGGAAGCCTTTTCGCGATGGATTAAAGGAAAATCCTGCTACACTAGCCCGAATTTGGAAGCTTATATCTCGCAATCTATAAGGAATTTATACATGATCAAAAATTGAACGTTGTAGCACTTGATGTCTAGTTTTCAGAAATGTAAACCATTTGTCATTTGGAGTTGTGTACAAAAGGTTATGGTGGATACACTATAGGCTGTCTGGAAAGAGTTTGGAAATATCTGTTGTACAAGGCTGATTTTGGAAGTTTATATCTAGCAATCTATAAGGAATTGGGATATGAGTAACAAAGGAAAGTTATAGTCCTTGGTGTCTAGTATTCAGAAAGTTAAACAAATTGCAATTTGGAATTTTGTACAAACAGTTATGACCATTATACTAGAGGCTCTCTGGAAGAGTTGGGGAGTTTGTTCTTTGCGATCGCGAAGCATTTTCCGCGATCGCGAAGAGCAATTTTGGGGCTGAAAAATTTTGTGCTTCGCGATAGCGAAGAGTAAATGCCTGGACAGAAAATATATTTTGAGGTTTCGGTTATTTTAACACGTTTGAAGCTATGGAGCTTGGAACGAAGTGATTTTTGAAGCGATTTTCACCATATGGATTGGGGTAAGTAATTCTAACTCGGTTTTGGTTAAATTACACGAATCTATTATTGTTTTTATCAACAAATTAGTGTTTTGGGTTGAAAATAGAAGAAAATTTCATAGAGTTTAATTGAGGATTTGAAGGCCGAGTTGTGGTCGGATTTGAGTAATTTTGGTATGGTTGGACTCGTGGTTGAATGGGAGTTCGGATTTGGTGAGTTTTATCGGATTCCGAGACGTGAGCCCCACAAATGATTTTTTGGGCGTAATTTCGGATTTTTGGAAAATATTAGTATTTTGATATGGAATTAATTCCTATAATTTTTGTAAGCTGAATCAAATTAATTGTGACTAGATTCGAGCCATTCGGGAGTTGTTATGCACAGAATGGAATTTCTGGAGCATTGTTTAGCTTGCTCGACATTGGATTCGGCTTGTTCGAGATAAGTAACTCTTCTAATCTTAGAGTTGAGGGTATGAACCCTGAATATATGTATTTCATAAATTGTTGGGAGGTGACGCACATGCTAGGTGACGGGCGTGTGGGCGTACACTATAAAAATTATGACATAATTGTTTCTGTGGAATTTTGTTGTTAAATGATATTGGCATTTTCCATGCGATTTTATGAGTTAAAGAAATTGAGCTAAAAAGCATATTGAAAATCATGTTGAGGCTATGTACCAGTATTATTGGGACCCACAGAGGTCATATTGTTATGAAATATTTATTTTAAAAAATGAAAATTCATACTCAGTCATATTCATTTCATTGCATATCATATCTCAGTCTCTGTTGTTATTTATTGATACATCATATCATCATTTTGATTGGAGAGATTGATGACTGAGGGAGGCCGAGGGTCGGATTGTGAGGATATTTTTGGGATCGGGCTGCACGCCGCAGTAGGCCACATTGGCTTTATATATATTATTACTATTATATGGATCGGGGCTGCCTGCCTGTAGCAAACCTTATTGGCTTCTAATTGCACGTGAGTTGGCCGTGCAGCACATGAGTTGGTCATGTGAATCCTTATATTATTATTGCACGTGATTTGGCCGTGCAACACGTGAGTTGGCCGTGCGGATCCTTATATTATTATTGCACGTGAGTTGGCCGTGCAGTACGCGAGTTGGCCGTGCGGATCCTTATATTATTATTTCACATGAGTTGGCCGTGCAGCACGTGAGTTGGCCGTGCGGATCCAGATCTTTATATTATGGCATGTGAGTTGTCCGAGAAGCACGTGAGTTGTCCGTGCTTATAGCGCTTCGGCTGTAGGAGCCCCTCATGAGTCTGTACACCCCCAGTGAGCGCATTCGACTATAAACAGGGATCGGGCTGCACGCCGCAGCAGGTATTGTATAGCGCTGAGTGATTGAGTGTGCTGAGCACAGTGAGAGAGAATGCGAGACAATGAGATTGAGTACTCTGAGAGAGTATGAGTACATGAGTGCAATCTCTGAGATACATTGCATTGACATGCACACATGACATATATGCATAGAGATGTGTTTCCTCATGCTGTACGGTATCACATTATTCATGATTTCTCACACATGCTGACAGATAGGCATAGCGATGCATTTGTTTTACACTGGTTATCTGGGAAAGAAAATGAGATATTTTATTTATTATTGAAAGAACTTTGGAAAAATTAATTGCTTTCAAACTTATTCATATTTTTGGCAATTTCGGCAATCAATTTGGGTTTTCACTGATGTATTTGAAAGAAAGAACTATTATTTTTGAAATCATGATTTGGCTAAGCATTTTATCTCTGTGTTTTTTCTGGTATTATTTGTTTTATGTTGTTATGGACCGTTGTGGACTAGTGGTTTTGGACCCCGACCTTGGTAGAACCTCGTCAATACTTTCAATCTACGGCTAGGTTTATTACTTACTCAGTACATGGGGTCGGTTGTACTGATACTACACTTCTGCACATTGCGTGCAGATGTTGGCTGTTTTGTTGCTGTGATCAATGGTTGCGGGATCTGAAGATGTACCTGTGTTCCTGTTGTAGCTGCCTCTTGTTCAGGGTAGCCTTAGATTTATAAAAGCTATGTTTATGTATTATTCAAACAGACTATATATTAATTTCATTTCCGCTTTGTATACTCTATTCCGCTTTGTATACTCTATTCTTAGAAGCTCATGATTTGTCCTACTAGTTCTTAGGGATTGTGTAAGATTAAGACCTTTATTTACTTAAATTGCTTTAATAATTATTATTGGATGGGATAGTTGGTAATTGGCTTACCTAACAGGTTGGGTTAGGTGCCATCACAACTAGTTGGATTTTGGGTCGTGACAAGGTGGTATCAGAGCCCTGGGTTCATAGGTTCTACAAGTCATGATCAAGTGTCTAGTAGAGTCTTGCGGATCGGTATAATGGCATCCATACTTATCTTCGAGAGGCTACAGGGCATTTAGGATATATACTTCCCATCTTTCTTTCCTTATCGTGCGGGATTGATTCAGCTTGGGACATAACTCTTTGAATTCCTTCCATGTATTCGTATGCGCACATGAGCGTTCGGTATCATCTATGCATCGCCGGCTTGTGATTCTATGAACGAGGTTCGAGGTGAGTATTCTGTGTTTTGGTGATGGGCCAGTCTGGAGGACTTGAGGCCATGGTTA